TTGTATGATCTATATATATATATACATACATATATGTATCTACATTAGTGTGCGCCTTATTTCAAGTGAAAGGTCGCCCTTTGGTGGCACTGGGAGAAGCGGTTTTTGATGGCAACGAAAGAGCTGACGCTTTCGAAAAACGTTGACCACAACGTAGCCTGTAGATCTAAAATGCTTAATTGTATAAATAAATAGTTCCCAAAACATTTGGAATTTGGTTTATTAACTGCACATACATACATATGTACATATTAGAATAATTGAATTAGGTATGGTTCAATATATTTTGGTCTTGTTATGAATTGGGCATTGCTGTTTTACATATGTATGTATGTATTTGCTTGTCGTTTTAAAAAGTTTTCTGTTTCTTGACAGAGGTCAATTTCGGGGCTATCATGCATATTTTTCGTCTATTAGTAGCAGTTCAATTATTACCTTATACAATTGTATGTAAATACATATATACATATGTATGTACTTACATATATGCACGTAATGTAATCAATCGCTTTCTCGGCCTATACGTTATCTGCGACGGATCAGTGGTTTACAAATCTCTACAGACCTTGTGTATATATATATACAAACCTTGTGTATATATATGTACATACATAGATCAAAATACGTTAGGGTGCTCCAGAAAAATTCTTTTGAGAAATTCGATAAGAAATAGGTAAGCGCCTTACGAAGTAAACCATGTTTTCTTGCTAGAATTGTCATCAGGACCAATGTCATCTATTAGTAAAGCACAAAATGAACAGCTCCTTGAACACACCTTTCGTTGTACGTAAGTTGCAAATAACGTGTCGCCGAACTACTCCGAGCGACTGCTCTACATTCTACGTACCTTACTTGGTAAATCGGCTCAGAAGTATGTATATCTGACACCAAATGTATATTCTAAATTCCTAATTCCATAAGGCGGCTGCGCCTATGTTAAAGTAAGGGATATTTGACGGGGAAGTGGTAAGGACCGCCGGGTGAAGTGTAAGTTTCTGGTATGGCGTTATTACATATCAAGTTTTATTACTGTAGGATGACGATAACCCGTACTGGTTTAAAATTTTAGCTACGAAGTTATACCGAAGCTACCATACATAAAAGTGAAGCTTAATCGCAAAAAATCTACGTTTTTAGTTTGCGGTGATTTAAAAACGTATAATTTTGAGTATTTTATAGTCGTTTTTCGTATTCTTTCCAAAATTATATCGCTCAAATACTAAACCAAACCCTGTACAGTAAGGTCTTAAGCAACATTCACCGAAAGACAACCACCACTTTAACCATTTCTCGCCACGTGAATGCCGTCATCGGAGTTAAACCAACTGCCATTGCAGACGAGGAGCTTCAGTTGCATCGAGAAATCCGCGAGCTTCTGGAGCGATTATGGTCTGGATACTGTAACAGGTTAAACTCTTACTGATTCCATTAAACCCACTAAGCTAACAGCCCTCCCTTTCCCTGTGATCCGAGTATGTTTCCTGCCAAGCAACCGACTTGGACAGGAATAGTACGACTACCCCCATCCCTCAGAGGAAGCACTTGGTAGTTATACAAATGGCCACTTTTACTCTAAATGTTAGGAACAGCACCATACAAGCAACAAATGGACGCTGGGGAAATCTCCCTTGTCTGTAATTTTGGGACTAAAACGGAACGAGGTAACCATTTTTACACGAATTCTTACAGAACACTGTCTAAGCGGCATGACATCATAATTTGGGCTCAGTACGGAGACCGCTACTCTCTCCAGCCATTCTAACCTATATTATTTATGTCAAAAAGAAAAAAAATTAGACGTAAGGCGTATCGAATTTCTCAGAAAAAAATTCTCTCATTATTTTCTGAGACACCCTAATGTACATACAATATTTTACTAAATGCTGCAAAACGCGAACTATAAAATTATCAGAGCAAACAAGTTATAAATCGTAGGCAAATTTTTGATAACGTTAAAATCCTGGACAGTACAGTTTTTTGTGTAAAAATGCCTCTTCATGCCATGACTTTTCAAATTTGAATACTGCTACTGATTTCAAATACTCTCGGTTGATATTGCTTTGATTTATCTCCCGTGACAGTGGGCCTCTTGCATAAAAAAGTGACTCGACTTTCAATACAAATTCTTGAACATGACTTCACTTTTCGCGTTGCTAGGATTTTAGCCGAGCGGGTTACGTCACTAAAGTGCTAACTTGCAAAACTCATAATCATTTAATTTTAATTGCAAAGCAATAATAAGCGTGATTATTTCTAATTTTGTTATAAATGCATATGTACATATCGCTAGCTTACAGTGAAAACTTGCTAAGTCCCACTTTAAAAGTTTTCCAGGACACGAAAAAACTTCTAATAGACATTTTCTTCAAGTATTTAGCAAAAATTTGTCCTGTTCAAAGAAAACCAAAACTTCATACGAATCAGAGGATTCGATCTTTATCTTCTTCTTTGATAAGGAATTTCGTACTATTTTGACTTTATCGGATTTTCGGTGCTTCTTTTGGACTAAGCAAATTTTCCTTGCCTTGTGTATAAAGGAAATATGAATTTTCTTAAAAAGTGGACTTAGCAACTTTTCACTCTAAGCTAGCGATGTGTACTTTTTAGAGGCAGAAACAAAATTGTTTGTACATAGCATATTGACTAAAAAGTCACAGGTTAAGCCAACAACCTCATCAAATCTCGTAACTGATCGATTTCCATAATAGTCGCACCTAGATAAACTTCAGTTTGGTCATTAAAAATTCAAGATAATTTTTAGTATATACTCGGCTTTAATCTTTCTGTAAAGTAGGCTCGATATTATCGGCATTCATATGTATTATGCACGTTTACATAGATTTACATAAGGGTGCCTCGCCAAAAAATTACAAACAATTGGGCACATGCCGCAAACCGGTTTTGAACCGAACCGTTTTTATTTTGAAGAGCCGAATCCTAGTGGAAAGAACACTCTAAAAAATTTTTCTGTTCTGTTTTTTATTTGTCCCTTTCTATTATTGAATTTTATTTGCTACTGCTTTGTAAATGTACAATAATCGAATGATTAGAGCTTTTTGTTTGAGTTGATGATCGTGCTGACCTCTAGAAAAAAAAAATGTATCATTCGTACCGAACCGAACCTCGGCTCACAGATTCTTATTAACCGGTTCTGGTACCCGTACAAGCGTTTCTAAGTAGTTCAAAGCCCTAAACCGAACTGCATCGACTTTAGGACCAAAACATTTTACTTCAATATAGGGGTTATCAGAGACATGAAGCGCGTTGAAAATAAATTTTGAGTGTGCGTTTTCATTAAAAAGACTTCACGTTACTGTCAAATTTTCTTTGCAAATAAATATCCTTCGGCAATCGAGTAATTGTGAGCTCATAGTATGTAGTTAATTGCCTTAAACTGTGAAGGGCTTGTTTTAAATATTGCTCACTTTGAGTTGGTTAAATACAGCTTTATCAAACATGTGAATAGTTGAGTTGTTTAATGTTCCGCCAATCCGAAGCATAATTATTAATTTAATTATTTAGAATTATTTTTAGTAGAAATTCGAAAAAAATTAGAAGAGATATCTTAGGTGTACATACATACATGCAGTGTTTCATGTTTCGCGTCAAGCGTAGGAAATTATTTGGATATCCTGAAAGTAATCGACCTCGGCAAATAAGCTTGCGAACCAAAGAAATACAAACTTATGGCGGACGACCCGGTCTAATGTACATACTACATGCATGTTTACATAAAGTTTATTGATGGCATCATAAAAGGTGTTCGAAAATTTACGCAAGTCTTGAAATAAATAGACACAGTGTTTTTTTTAATTTTATTATTTTTCATTTAAATATAAATTACATAGCACATTAGGCAAAAGTGAGCTACGGCTTTACTGGTGCATCGGAAATTGTCGAATCGTGTTGTTGATCGAAATTTTTCTCATTCTAAAAAAAGTATTCCAGACATTGCCTTATCTTATGTACTTTATAAAAAACTTATAAAAAATGCATTAAAAAATGTGTTTTCTATTTAACTAAAATCTTGTGACACCCTTTATTATCGTACACAAGTAATGCAAATTAGAGTAAGCAATTCACAGAGTATAAAATGAGGCAGAACAAGTAAAACTCGGCTGCCAATCAAGAATTTATGCAACGATGAAAAAGCAGTTTTTTTTTTAAAGACAAAGTAAAAAGTAAAAAATGGCTTATTGGAGTACTGTGCATAAATACTACATAAAAAGCAAATAAAAGTAAAAAAAAAAAAAATCAATAAGATTATTCAAGGGAAAGTTTATTAGCAATAATTCAAATTAAGGCGAGTACAGAAAACAATAGACATTGAGAAATATTCCAAACAAGTGGCTTCTTATCAGTAATACCACAACAAGTAAATTAAAGTGACACAAAAAAATCAAATTAGTTTTAAGAAATGCAAGTTTAATGCTGGAATAAAATTTCTAGCTATAGAATTTCACGTATACGTAACAAAACGAAGCTTAGAAAACCAAAAAAAAATCCCCCTGTCTTTATTGTTCTGTACCCTTGTGGATAAAATTCCGATTTTTGTCCGTTTACCGATTCCATTTTTGAATACTTTCGCGATTCGTTTTTGGGGCTGCACTTTTGCCTATTCTTTATGGAAGAAATTTCCATGATTTTCCATTAACAAATTAGGGCCTTTCTCTATTAATGTAATGATATGTATGTAAATGGCGGAAATGCCACAAATCAGGTGACTCAGCTGTAGATATTTTTGGACAATCAGTTGACAGTGTTTTTACTTAGTAGGTTGTGCGATGCAAATTTTAGAAAAAAAAAATGTAGAAAAAAAATGTAGTTGAATCTTTTATTTCAGATGTACTTTAAAATTTCTTTGTTTTCTGCATCAAAATTTAATTTTTGATTAAAATGTTGTTAGCAACTTTTTCCCCTAAGCTATACATTCCAAACGATTCCATTTGTATTTGATATTCAGAAATTATAATTGCATTTTTTGTTTCAATTTTTTACAGTGCCCCACGTCCTGTCTTCAAAAAATCGGCTTCCAATGGACGACAAATAGAAGAAGTTTCATTAACACCGCAACATGAGGAAATTGTACAATACATCAATGACTGTAAGTATAAAAAAAAAACGATTAATGAGGAAGACAAAAATAAGACTAAGCGCATTTAAGTGCGGGACAAGTGTTATCTGATATATATAGATATAATAAAAAAAAGGCGAAGCCACTTGAGAGATATGTGTGTATGTAGTTATGTATGGATGTATGCACATATGTACAACATTATTTCATAGGATTTTTTTTTTTTTAAATTTTTGGTCGTTCTTGCTAAGTTTTAAGTTAAGTCCACCTATTCTCTAATTTAATTGTTTATTTTGACAAATTGATAAGAAAAATGTATGAGTATACGGGGGCGAGAATGTAAAGAAAGAAAAGATATTTTAGCGAGGTTTGGCTACTTTTCTTTGCTTAAAAAATTTTTCCAATTTTTTTATGAAAATATAGCTTACTATGAGCCATCCACAATTCGCAGAGTTTTGCGATTTTATAGTAAAAGCAAAAATCAACTTCCATTTTTTGTCACGTAACGACACTCTCTTTAATTGCTTATATTCAATATTATAATTAACAAAATATAAATGTATATATAAAATATTATAATTAACATAACTTGCATAAAAATAATGAATATCTCTGATCATCCAACAGCTTGGAATGTCATTGTGGCGCATAATCCCTACGATTCAGCGTTTGATGGCAATGGGAATGCTCAACCGGCGGACTCCAACAACAACTCTGGTTAGTGTAAATCATATTAATTTGAAAATTTTTGATAATTAACTCATCATTACAATTGATATTGCCAATATAGCCGGCTCATCGATCGCATCCACCTCAACATCATCCGCTGCCTCATCGGTGTGTACTTCACCACAACCGACCGCATCGATTTACTGCATCGAACCGCCCAGCCCAGTGTTGAGCGATTTCAAGCCATTCGACTTAGTGACCTGGTGGTATGATCGCCTCTGTGATGTAAAGAGCACGTGAAGTGTTACCAACTAAAATGTATGTGCGTGTGTGTGTGTGCGCGGGCGTGCGTGGGTGTGTGTGTGTGCAAGTATGTGGCCAAATATTGTGAGACCAAGCACGTGCAACGAAGAGCAATTGCGATAAACAAAAACGAACAAAATACAAAAAAAAAAAATTAAGAAATATTTACTACTACCAAAAAGTTACCAAACTAAAAATTGTAAAGCATTCACATTAGGAAAATTGTAAAAACATTTAGCCTGTTAGTCGCCGAAATGCAGCAGCAGTAATTAACATACATACATATGTACATACAAACGAAACATGTGTAAATACATACAATGGCATACGTAACAGAAAATAGCTAGTATTTACATAGTTAAGGTTTTATGTTTAGCATACAAAAAATTATGCCTCTTAAATTATAAAGTTAGTTGTTACAGTTCTAAAGTAATAAATTTTACATAACGAACTATGTTAATTTGTTAATTTTCAATTTAACGAAAGCAAAGAAAATTGCAATTAAGCAATAACGAACATTTTACGTGCTCACAAATATTGTATATATAAATGTTAATGTACATGCATACATTTAGATAAATATTAATGTACATACATATATGTATATGCATAAAGCAGCTAATAAAATAGACAAGTAATTAAAATCCAAATATAACTAGGCACATTTCTATCAATAATCTACAATACCAACAAAATCTCCAATGTTTTTCATATGAATGTGTATTTGTAAGCACATACATACATACATACATATATACATATCGCTCATTTGCTTCAATAGTGCCATAATCCAAAACAGTACAAAATCGAGTTAAGTATGCAGAAGTGACTGCTACCTGTTCCTCTATGGTGTGTAAAAATTTCATAGGTGTAACGATTTGGTTTTATGAGTTATGACAGTATCGAACTAAATGAGCGATATGTGCATATGAGAATCAAAAACAAACTTATCTAACAGAATGTTACGAGTTTTCCCAATTGCATTGAGCAAAGTAATACCAACCAATTAACTTGGCTGTAAGATAAATTATGTACATAAATATGTACATACATATATACATGTGTACAAAGTAGTAAAATAAGTACCCATCGCTTATTTACTAAAAGACTGTTATAACTCTAAAACGAAATATTTGAGCAAATGATGCTGAATTACTTGTTACATAAAGTACGAGATTGTGTAGTTTCCGCGTAAGAAGGCAATAATCATCTCGTGTTCCTTCATTTTGTGGGCAAATTGAAAAATTGATATGCGTCTCCTGAAAATTTTAGTTTTTTGAGCTATGACTGTCTTTTAGTAAATTATATGTAAATGCTTCATACAAAAATCGTAAAATCAAACTTCCATTGACAGATATTTTCTAATGCCGATTTCCACTGGTCATTAAATGACAAAACATTTAATGACAAAAAAGTCAACAAGTCTGTTTCCACATGCCATTTGATTAATGGTAGACAATTTTTCGTCATTCGTCATTTCGTCGATAAAGAGAAAACCCATTTCTAAATTATGATTTTAAGCAGACAAAATAAAAAAATAAAACCTAAACAATTATACAACGCATGAAAATGCACAATAACACCATCTGCCTTATTTGTAACATAGTGTAAAATTATTTAAAAAATTTTCAAACTCTAGATTCAATGGCCCGCAGTCATAGAGAAGTTAGAAAAAGGTTTTAACGATAAAAATTGTTTTGTATAGTAATCACCATTTTAACTCTTTCATAGTCAACTTAAAATGCATTTTATTTTATTTTTGATTTTTCCACTTTTTAATATAACTATTACTTTATTTTATTAGATTTTATTTTATTTGTTTATGGTATTTCACACAATTATACAAAGTTAATCAAATTCTTTGGAATTTAATTTTAATTAAAAAGTCAAAATAACTATATTTACAAAAAAAAAATTTAAATATTATTTGAACAAAAAAAAAATATGTAAAAAAAATGTTTCCTGACTGTGGAATCGAACCCACGACTTCCCAGCGTGCTAAATCAGCAATCCTGCAGCGGACACAGTACATTTTTTCTGCGTTCTCTCTCATCTTAACAAAAAGCGGTTTCTAAGATGTCTATGATTGACACAATTTTATTTCGATTCTAAACTTAAAACCTTAATTTAACAAAAATGAGTTTTAACTTACGCCTATGACTTATGGGCCATGATTTTTAACCAACTTGAAATCAGTAGCAAAAAATTTACGCCAAGGTGTAGAACAGTTTGGTAGACACTGTAGCCGCGCAAAGTTTGAGTGTGACGAATAAAATTTTCGCAGCCACTCTTTATTTGTTGTTCTTCAGCACCGCTAGAGGGTCTATTTGCTATAAAAAAAATTATAGCAATTGACACTTATTAGGATGTAGACGCAAGGATATTTTGAGAAGCAGTGCTATTTTCATAAACATTGAGTTAAGAGTATGTAAATATGTTGATTATATTTAACACACTTAGCAATAAATGCAGTGCATTCTCGTTAATCGCAACTAAACTTATAAGCTGACATCTATGCCGCTGTAACTATGCGTCCTAGCTTTATTTATCAAATTTAGGGATATTTTTTTTTGTGCTCTGAACACGTCCTTACTATAACCATCCACAGGAACATTAATGCCGAATTTCTATTAGGCATTCAAATAACAAAAAGTTTCTGGCATTTACAAAATTTTTTGTGGAAAGGTAAGGTAAGGTAGTAAAATTGCCTAAAATAAAACGTATAATTGAATGGGCTATATAACTGTATACCAAAAAAAAAAAAATCCTGAATAAAGTGTGCAATTTTTATGATACGTTGTTGATTTTTTTAATTTTTGTATGAAGTTAGAAATTTGGATTTATGTATATGGTATTTGTTACAGAATGAACTACATATATTATTAGTCAAAACTTGACAATATGTGGGTTTCATATAGTTATGACAAGCACTATATTTACGTACATAAGCAAGCCGCATTCGTATAAGATGGTAGCAAGCGCATATAAGTAAAAATCTCGAGCATTTTGTTATTGATTTTTGGTACTTTAAGGTGTCAAAATAAAAGAAAATAGAAAAGAACTGCAGAGACAAAAATATCAAATCAGCTGTTCTGGTAACACCACCTTATATGAATGCGCCCTATACAGGCATAAGTACGTAATAAAAAACAGAACATTTTCTGTTGAAAAACTCCCTAAGTATATTTGAATAAAATGGTTATGCAAATGAGTAAATCAAAATGGATGCACCATTGTTAATACATACATCACACAATTCGTACACGAAAAAGTGAAAATATGTATAAGAAAATTGAGTTAGTAGTTAATTCGATGAATGCTTACACAAAGTTCCCTCATAGATTACGTTTTATAAATAACAAACACACAAATGAAATTAGAATTTTATGAAATAACATTAAAGAACAGTGGTTTAAATATAAGCAAAATATGTATGTTAACAGTGCTGTTATTGTGAAGTCAACTGCACCAAAATGTAACTAAAATGGACTTGCCTTAATTGTTGAATTACCAAGCTTTGCGCTTGTTTGAAAAGACAATAATAATATCGTTGGCCATTGTTGAACGGCGTGCCGTACTATGAACAAACGAAAACAAAACAAAAAACAAAAGCAGAAATAAAAGAAAGTTAAAATACAAATATAAAATATTATTAAGCTTATAGCAATATGTGGAATATTAAATAAAAAAAATGCATTTTAAGTAATTGTAACAAAAAGAAAAGTGAATGAACAGCCAATGAGTTGAGCGTGTACAGTTGTTTTTATAAAAGTTACATTGACTATTATGCTAAAACTGTGCAAAAATAAAATTACGACTATAGTTAAATACTAGAAGCATACATTCATGAAAATTCTTTCACATTAACGAGGTGAGTTGCCGCAACTCGTTAACGTTAATGACTTTTAAAATTTTGTGCTATATTAACGAACTGTAGACCCACAGCTGCTTTCCCTTTACAATTGTAAATATGAGCACATACAATTAATTAACTCTTCTAAAATAATAAGGGTATTCATATAGACGCGTAAATGCCTCATAACCGCGCAAACCTCGTAAATATAGCGATTTTTCACACAATATTAAGTAAGTTTACGAGGTTTACATGGTTACGAGCCACTTACGCATTTAGATGATTTGCCCAAATAGCAATTTATAATTTATACTGTAACGAAATTACCGTAAAACAAATACATAATGGAAAATTAGTCCCAATTAAACTAATTCATGTGTGTAGATTAAATAAAATTTTGAATGTGTGTTTTGATTAAATGAGTTCAATAAAGGATGCATGTAAATATCTACATATAAAACTTGAAATGCAGGATAAATGTATGTGCCATGAAAAGAATATGGCGGAACAAAAACACATACATATGTAAATGTTGATGCAATGAATTTATACTCGTAAATGACTGCAATATTTCGTGATTTTTCTTATATAACTACGAAGCAGATAAACTGCATACTTACAAAAGTGGAACAAATAGTAGATAATTCACATACATACATACATATTCGAAATTCGATTTACAGCAAAGAAAATGCTTGCAGCGAGATAGACTCATATACAGCTGAATAAGAATATTACTAGTTTTTTTATTTGGCAAGCAAACGAAAAACTCTGATACCGTCTAGGACCAAAATATTTTCTTTCTCATAAGAAAGCTGATTAAATTTCAGTTAAAGATAAACTTTTTTAAATTCTCACATCTGCGACTAAACATATGTTTTCAAACCTCCCCTTAGTGCTTCGAAAGCCTTGAATCGGTTAATATCCATCATACTTACGGTGACCATATTAACCAACGTAAAATAAAGGACATTTTTTTTAATGATTTGGGAATACGTACATACAACTTGTATATGATAAAAGTAACTTACCCATATCGTAATTTAAATCAAATATTTGCCAGTTAATTATGTTATTTAATTGTACAAGTTCCTCTGCTGTAGTGAAAAATTAAGCCAGATTTTTTTCCAGGACTTCGCCATCCTTTGTTACCAAAATACGTTTACCATAATTCATAGTGCACGACGAAGCTAGCACACTGTGGTTTCAATATGGAATTTAATGTTCATAATGCACCGGAGCCTTCATTTTTCAACCAATTTTTTTGTATTTTTTTTTTTTGTTTTGGGAGAACCATACATTTCATTTTCAACAAGTTTTTGTTATGTAACATTTATTAGGTGGAACATTTTCTTCAAAGTGGCTACTTTTTCTGCATTTTGCACTAAAAAATTTAATATAATCAATTAAAGTTCAGAAATCAGGTTCATTTGGTCTCTTGCAAATATTGTAAGCGTTCATAAAAAAAAAATAATAAAAATTAATCGACTTAAGTGAAAAATAAAGGCTCCAGTGAATTACGTACACTAAATGGCAGTTTTGAACAACTGTGCAGCAGGGGGTTCATTGTTCTCTTTCAGTGTAACTGGAAACTCAGCGTGCAACACGATCCTGGGCACAACTTTCCCCGTGCTTTATAGATTGTACAAAGATTACCGATTAAATAGAAACCCTTAAGTGGGGTGCGAAACAAACTCGCGAAGGTTTTCATTATATTTTATAAGGGACATTTTTATTTTTCATATTCTGCGTTTAAAAATTTACCTCTGAAAATTGCAGAGCCGATTTAAAGGACACTTTAAGAAATAAAGGACAAAAGGCGTCCTTTATTTTGAAACAAATTATAAAGGACAGGGGGTTAAAATAAAGGACTGTCCTTTAAAATAAAGGACGGATGGTCACCGTAATCATACTACACAGTGAAAGCTCTCATACACGGACTTTTCTATAAACGGACGCGAACACTCAAACATGTCTGGTTTGGAAAAAAAACATCTCCCATAAACGGGCGCGAAGCTCTAATAAGCGGTCAATTTTATTTTCAGTCTAATGTTAATCTTTGCGCATATTGCTGCTTGAGAGAAGCAAGCAATGAGATTTGTCGGTAGAAAAGATAACACCATAAATTTGAATTTACTTTCCATTCATTCTGTTTTTGTCTATTGAAGAATAAATATTATTTTAATTTAGAAATCTGCTATTTAATTTTTTTTTGTCCTATAGGCGCACAAAAAGTAAGCATTCATCGGTGTCCGCTTATGGGAGCTTTCACTGCAGGTAACTAACGGGTGATTTTTTAAGAGCTTGATACCTTTTTTTTTAAAAAAAACGCATAAAATTTGCAAAATCTCATCGGTTCTTTATTTGAAACGTTAGATTGGTCCTAAC